CATCTTGAATCTGCAGCTCCACACTTGAAATCTCCACTTAGGGAGCAAGTGACACATGCCCTTGAGCAATGTTTGCACAAGGGCGTTCCTAGAGTCGAGACCCGATTCTTCATCTCATCAATCTATGAGAAGGAACAATCAAAAAATGATGTGTTACTTCGATTTGCCAAATTGGATTTCAACTTGCTCCAAATATTGCACAAACAAGAACTTGCTGAAGTATCAAGGTGCGATATATAAAAACAATGGACCTTTTTTGATTGATCGTATCTCAAGTACTGATGTTAATTTGTTATGATGCAGGTGGTGGAAAGATTTGGATTTCGTAACAACACTTCCATATGCTAGAGATCGAGTAGTTGAATGCTACTTTTGGGCATTAGGAGTTTATTTTGAGCCTCAATACTCTCAAGCTCGCGTCATACTCGTTAAAACCATATCAATGATTTCGATTGTCGATGACACTTTTGATGCTTATGGTACAATTAAAGAACTTGAGACATACACAGATGCCATTCAAAGGTATGAATTTCATCAATTCACTTATTCACATATTCCTTGATATGAATGTCGTCGTGAAAAGATTAAGACGAACTTCTACTCATTATAGTTGTGGTCTTTCAAAATGCATGAGTTCACCTTAATTTTGTCATCCTGCAGATGGGATATCAACGAAATTGATCGGCTTCCTGATTACATGAAAATTAGTTATAAAGCTATTCTAGATCTTTACAAGGATTATGAAAAGGAATTGTCTAGTGCTGGAAGATCTCATATTGTCTGCCATGCAATAGAAAGAGTATGTTTGATCAACTTAACTTTCGAAATTTGTTTTTTCCTTAATCCATTTCTCACTTTGTTTTACCTTGTGTACGTCTTTTAGTGATCATAAACTTGATACAGTTAATCAAAATTTTCTAACATTTGAACATATATTTTTTGTATTCACAGATGAAAGAAGTAGTAAAAAATTATAATGTCGAGTCAACATGGTTTATTGAAGGATATATGCCACCTGTTTCTGAATATCTAAGCAATGCATTAGCAACTACTACATATTACTACCTTGCGACAACATCATATTTGGGTATGAAGTCTGCTACGGAGCAGGATTTTGAGTGGTTGTCAAAGAACCCTAAAATTCTTGAAGCTAGTGTGATTATATGCCGAGTTATTGATGACACAGCAACATACGAGGTATGAGTTAGTTGTATCTCACGATAGTATATCCTTATATGAGATTTAGACAAACAAAATGTTGTGACGACAATTGAGACAATATAAAAGCTGACCCTTAATCTATCTGCCTTTCAGGTTGAGAAAAGTAGGGGACAAATTGCAACAGGAATTGAGTGTTGCATGAGAGATTATGGCGTATCAACAAAAGAGGCAATGGCTAAATTTCAAGGAATGGCTGAAGCAGCATGGAAGGATCTTAATGAAGGATTTCTTAGGCCCACCCCTGTATCTACGGAGATTTTATTTCGTATTCTCAATCTTGCTCGTATTGTTGAGGTTACATATATACACAATCTAGATGGATACACTCATCCAGAAAAGGTCTTAAAACCTCACATTAATGCCCTACTTGTGGACTCCATCGAAATTTGAGCTGCCATTTGTTGCTCATCTTAAGGTTCATTCTTCTGTGTTGAGAAAGTACTTACATATTTGTTTTATTTTAATTCTATTATATAATTAAAGTTGTTAGGGAGCTGCTTCTGCGGTTGTGCAGTACACTTCCTAACTAGGACCTCCTTAAGATCCTTGTAAGAAATAATCCACAAGTGTTATGAATGGCCACTTGCATTGTTGAGAATTCTTTTTATATAACAATAAATTCTTATAAATAGATTCTATTGGAGACTATTTTTCAGTGCATGAAGCTTTAGTATTTTTTTTAATCATACTTGGTCTCATAAAGATTGGTTTTTGGCACTTTTGTTTTTCCTCGAAGCGCATGTATAGGTGAATCTTATATATATATATATATATAAAGGTTAAGAAAGCGTTGACATGCATAATTGAATCAACACAGTGCTACATTATGCGCTATGTGTTGGCATACAATAGCTATTTTGGTATTTATGTTATCCTGTGAATGCCATCACTGATTTTCCTTTTGAAAATAAACCACCAGTCCGTCTTAAGTACTCTTTTAATTCCGTGTAAGCTGGAGGGAATGAATGAACCCGTAGGAGGTCGAAAAGCCATAGTGCAGCAAGCGAGTTAGCACAAAAACTAAGTATCTTGTTGTTTTTGCTGCTTTTTTCTTTTCTTTTACATGAGGTCCGCAAGAAAGTGGTTACTAATTAAGGGTTGTAGCTTTCTTCTATCCTTGATCAAATTTTGGGCTAAAGCTGTTACTGGATTCCCGAGAAGCCGCATGTTAGCCTCTAAATCCCCCACTAGTCATAGAGATTTTCATGTCGCGCATTAGGAGGGCTTTACCCTCTTAGAGAACTTTATGACAACGCAAATTTATCGGATTAGTTATTGTTAGGACCGAAAAAAGTCAGGTGTCATGCGGAAGGTAGTAAAGCAAATTTTAAGCGACGATAAATCCAACAACAAAAGAGAAATCTACCAAAAGACACACAAACATTTAACGTGGTTCGGTCAACTGACCTACGTCCACAGCGGAGGTGAGCAATCCACTATTATAAAAGAGAGTACAAAATATCGAGAGAACAACCTCACGAAGAGGCAAACACAAGTGACATACTAACACTTGTCCCGTAAAGTTCTCCCCCTAAACATGACTCTCCAACGCCCCTATGGNGTCCCGTAAAGTTCTCCCCCTGAACACGACTCTCAAACCCCATATGGCTACATTGTGGATGCTACTGAATGAGAAGGAAGGATCCTCAATTTATAGAAGTTCAAATCTTTTCCTACAAGAAAAAGTACTAGCCAAATATGGAAGACTTATATTTTTCATCTAGGAAAAGAAAAACCCTATTATGGTAAATATGTTGCCTTTCCTTCATGAGATAAGAAAACCAAATATGGTAAGAAAATCAGGACAACACCTAACAGTTCTCTCCCTTGGCTTGAATTTTCTGACAAAATAAACTTGATCCACCTTCTTGACATAGCCTTCAACAGGTCACATCTCCAAATCTCTACCAACAAAGTTTGTTTCAACGTGCGTAGCACACCGGTCAAATTTCTCAGATAAAAATCACGATTATCGTCAAATATGTTGCGGCTAGAACTGAACCCACCAAGTGAACCTGTCTTGAACCTCGCTCTGATACCACTTGTTAGGATCGAAAAAAATATGTGTCATGCGGAACCTAGTAAAGCAAACTTTGAGCGACGATAAATCCAACAACAAAAGAGAAATCTACCAAAAGAGACACAAACATTTAACGTTGTTCGGTCAAATGACCTACGTCCACGGCGGAGATGAGCAATCCACTATAGTAAAAGAGAGTACAAAAATATCGAGAGAACAATCTCACGAAGAGGCAAACACAAGTGACACACTAACACTTGTCCCGTAAAGTTCTCCCCCTAAACACGACTCTCAAACCCCCTATGGCTACATTGTGGATGCTACTGAATGAGAAGGAAGGATCCTCAATTTATAGAAATCCAAACCTTTTCCTACAAGAAAAAGGACTAGCCAAATATAGAGGATTTGCAATTTCCTTCTACAAGAAGGAAAACCCAATTAAGGTAAACATGTTGTCCTTTCCTTCAACAAATAGGAAAACCAAATATGACAAGAAAATCTGGACAAACACCTAACAGTTATTTAGTCGAATAAGTGAGATTTGAATACTCGATAGATAAACAAAACGAAAGAAAAAATTACTCTTGACAATGGGGTGGCTTTGCAATGGTGCAAATTAATTGCAATTCACCGGATGTGTGAGCATATGATATCTAGTTGGATTTAGGAGTGGATTTAGCTTATAAATCGCGATTTTATGGAATTTAATAGTTTTTGTTCAAATTTTGTATACATGTTAAGAAATTTATTAAATATTTATAAATATTTGAATCTGATCCCATAAATTAATGTTAGATACATCCTAGCTAGGAGCGGTCGCAAAAAAAAAAAAAAAAAAAAAAACGTTTCATATTCATCTTGCCCGATCAATTTCAGCATATGGAGATACAGGACATGGAGCATATAACAACAATATTTCGAGAAAGTTTAAGTACATGCAGAGGCATATTTAAAATTTAAAATTTAAAGGCTCCTATAACGATATCGGACTTCCATTCAAATATTTATAAATATTTTATAAATTTTTTAATATATAAATATGACTTGGGCAGAAGGTAGTTACTAGGTTCACGTGAACCGGATACAATCTAAATCCGCCCCTGGCGTACATGCATCTAATTGTACAACAACAACAACAACAACAACAACTCCGTAAAATCCCATAAGTGGGGTCTGAGGAGGGTAGTGTGTACGCAGACCTTTGGAAGAATAGAGAGGTTGTTTCGGATAGACCCTCGGTTCAAGAAGACTACATGCATCTAATTGTACAGCAACAATAACAACAATCCCGTAAAATTCCATAAGTGGGGTATGAGGAGGGTAGTGTTTACGCAGACCTTACCCCTACTCTGGAAGAATAGAGAGGTTGTTTCCGATTGACCCTCGGCTCAAGAAGACGACATGCATCTAATTGTACAGCAACAACAACAACCACCTCGTAAAATCCCATAAGTGGGGTCTGAGGAGAGTAGTGTGTACGCAGATCTTACCCCTACTCCGGAAGAATAGAGAAGTTGTCTCCGATAGACCCTCGGCTCAAGACTACATGCAATTAATTGTACTATCAGGAAATCTTAAAACCAAGACTAAGAAGAAGTTTTTAACTTGATCCTACAACCAAGATTCAAGGCAATTTTAGTAGTATAGAAACAATAAGAAAGAAAAATAAAATGACTTCCCTTAGCAATCAACCGATAAGCAAGCCCAAATTCTTTGTAAATCTTGATGCAATTCTTGATCAGCCAAGGTATTAGTTGAGTTCACTGCTAATGACTGATTATTATCCATAATTGTTTTCTTAACATCAACAAAAAATTGGCTAAAATTTTGACTCTGCTCAATAAGTCCTATTAATCCTTCATTAATCACACACAAATGATCTCCAATTTCTGATATACACTTTTGTGGTGTTTCTGCTAATAAATAAATCTTCTGCAATTTCCGAAATTCATTTTTAATTTTCCCAACTTCTTCATACCAGCTTTCAACTTCTCTTTTTCTTTTCTTTTTTTCTGCTTCCTTCACTTGTTCTTCATATTTTGATGCTACGCCATTTAATACTTGTAGATTGCTTTGAAGGCTTTGCCAATTGTACATACCGCTGTCTTGATAGTTCCTTGTGGGATTTGTGAAAGAATCTACCCTTTCAACCTCCATATCCATTTTGTTTCAAATTTTCCTGCATATAATTGAAAAAGAAAAAAAATCAGATAATCATGTCTAAAAGTGAAAATTGAAAAATCAGAAAGATTAAGAAGACATAATTGAGAAGAAGAAATCACTATTATACCTTTGCGATCCAAATGTTAAAGTTTTGATTAACCATCAACATTTGATGGCAGGAGAAGAAGCTATGGTTTTTAATGTAGACAAGATGGATTAGAAAACAAAAAAATATAGAGATTATAATATTAAAAATTTACGACTTTGTGGCATAAATATCACGTAGTAACATGTTGGCTAAATTAAACAGATAAAGAGAGAAGGCAAGAAAATTTAGTTAGAATTCGGAAGGAACCTAGAAAATGCCTTGCAATCACTAATAGATAATTGCTTTACACAAATAACAAGTCATATTTACTGTTTATATTTCCTAACCGGTATATAAAGATTATATATTGATTATACGCGATTTTACTCATATGCTAAATAAATTATACATATATTATACGTCTGTTGGCTACTTTTAATTAGTTCAAGTGGTTAGGTGAACGGCTATTTAGATTAATTCTTTCTTTATTTCTTTTTATTTTTATTTTAGTGGGGAGATTAACATCTTAAAGAAATATTTAAGAATAGTCAAAATACAACCCAATTAAAGGGCATGGAAATCTGACAAACCTTATCCATTCATTTCTTTAATAAAAACTCAAGAAACTTTCTTATCGTTTTTTATTTTGACTTCTTAATATCATGTCGTCGTGAAAATCAATATTTATGGGTACATCTTTAGAATAGACTATGACAAATCAATATTTATATGTGTATTTGGCAGAGCACTAACTTGAAGTTGATAATGACTATAAATCCTCATAAAATTGTACCCATTTTCTATAATAAAAGAGCTCCTTCTAAGAAACCATTGAGTTTTCATAGGACACAAGTAATGAGAAAAAATTTCATTTGATAATTAGCGTAAATAACCTTTTTATACCAACTTTGAAATAATACAAGGGAAACATAATTTGGGACACGAAGTAGAGCCTTAGAATTATCATAGTCTCAAAGCTAGTCCACTAAAAGCCGAATTGTGACAATACACCGATGCTGGTTGTACATAATCTTGAGTATATATGTTCATTACCAGGCGCTTAAATATTTGTTCGCTACATATGATTTTAGATTTTGTCAATTATTTTAATCGTAGAATCACTGAAATTGAAAAAGAATTGGTCTGGAGTCTGGACTCGCAAGGAAAACATACATACCAATTCTTCTATTTTACGCATAATGTACAGCTCAATTTCCCATCATCGAGAAAACTATAACCAGAAAATGAAATGTTAAAAGACATGATTGAAAACTGAAATGCCCTTATAACCATAATTTTCACAATGTTTCAACTTCTACAAGTGAAATTTCAGAATAATGTTACAAGTGAAACTCTAGCGCAATGATAATTTTACAAAACAGGGCGGAAAATGGCCAGTGGACGCTATTTTACGTATTCTAACTATATATTTATCAATCTATGACTTCTCTTTCATTCACCCCATTAATTTGCCGCATCCATGCTTTTATATATTGCAGGGGCGACTCGATAAGTTTGGTGGCCTAAAGCCAAACTTTAATGTGAGGCCCTTTTAAAAAAATCATATATATTTTAAGTTAAAGTAGATTTTCTAGCTTTTTGAGAATAAAATTACTTAAAATTTTCAGCATAAACCATTTAATCTCTCATGTGCAGTATGATCTTAAGTAATAGAACATGATTCAAGAAGTTGATAACTTTGTATTCAAAGAATTTTTTGATGTTTCAATATACTTGTTGCAATGATGAAAACCTGAGGAAAAAACTAGAGTTTAAAAGTGTATTACATATTTTCTAATGATTAATGTAATCCTTTTTTTTTTAATATAAAATATTTTACTTTTCTACATTGAAATACTTAATATTTTCTTCAAAAGATTTGGGGCCTCACGAGAAGAGTTGTGGTGGGATGGATAGCACATCTCCTTCTTTAATCGGAAGTATTCGGTTCCGGTATTTGGAACGAAAATCCCTTATAAGGAGCAGTTCCCACTTTAATGGATTTTACACGGTACGAATTTGAATTAATCAATGTCCCAAATTAAATATCGGACATCAAATAAGAATTGGGAAACAAAAATTGGAGCCCCCAAAATTCCGGGGCCTAAAGCCACCGCTTTAGTGGCTTTACCCTCTGGCCGCCCTTGATTATATTGCTACCTTTTACAGTTTTACTACTAGCGACAACGGTTTATAAAGAATGTAAATTAACTCAAAATTGGTACTAATAATTATCAAATAATTGATAAAATTGAAAATAAAAGGTCTTTTTTTATCTTACGATTCATCAAAATCTAGAAAACTATCAAAAAAATTTGAAAAAAGTCAACTTTCTTAAGCTTTTATGTGGAGGATGAAAATGGTTTTTACCACCAAAAAATTGACTTGTTCTTTGTTATCAAATAAATTAGGGGTGTCAAAATAAGCTATAAAGTCGATTAAAAAATCGGATCGAACCTAACCAAATCGATTTTAGGGGTTTTAAACGTAAATCGTAGGTTTGGTGTAAATTTATAACTACACCAAATAACTAGGTTAATTCAAAATTTCGAATATTAAAAAATACAACTAGTCTTAAGGTTTGCGCTACAAGTCTCTTGCTTTGAAGCTGTAGCTCCCCGATGCGTAGGGTCTGGGGAAGGGCCGAACCACAAAGTCTATTTTACGGCCTTATCCTGTATTTTTGCAAGAGACTGTTTCCACAGCTCAAACCCGTAACCTCCTGGTCACATGACAACAACTTTACCAGTTACGCCAAGGCTCCCCTTCAATGATAAACTTTCTCGAGAGGACTTGAATGAACTTTCTCCAGAGGCCAAGTTCAAGCTAGAGAGATACTTCCAGGTACGTACTTATTTTCTTCTAAAAGGAATGGAAGATGTGAAACATTAATTCCGATCCTTTTCTTCTGGAAGCTTTCTCACTTCTGCACATCAATTTTTGTGTAGACTGCTACGAAGAAAATATCCCGAAGACACTAGGCTGAAATCGATGAATTTGTCTCCAACAACGCGATGGTAATAAAATTTGTGAAGCAATTTTTTGCATATTGTGTATGGGTAAAATTGGAGGTAGAATTCTCCCCGATTTTCCGAGGAGAAAACGAAGGGGAAGCACGGCTCGACCTGATTATAATCGACGCCGGAACTCGTCGTACCGAGACCCAGGAAGAACATACTATGTATCTGAGATCGGACACGTCAAAAGAGACGTACCCCAAACCAAGTATGGCTTCTGGACCCCAGGAGATGCAGCGAACCGTTATGCATGACTGATAGGGGCCGTAATATTCGTCCTCAATTGAATTTTACGACTCGAATCCCGTTCCGTATCATTTATAGATCAATAATTACCGGGAAAATAAAATTTTTACCTTTTGTAGACTTGTACTAGGACTGAAATTCTCCTACTATATATATATATATATATATATATATATATATATATATATATATATAGATATATAGAAGAGCCTTGGAAGCAGCTGGGCGTTGTCTTGCCAGCTTGCCAATCAAGGCCCTTTTTGGTCATTTCATGTACCACAATTTTTATACGTGTCTCCATCTACAAAGTCCTGCACGTGAAATGAGAAGGACAAGGCCACCTCTCAATTTCTATCTAATTGTTTGCCTTACTCTGTTTCTCGCTGATCGTATCACTACTGCTAGGTATTCTTCTTTCTCTGTGACTTTGTTCCCCTTAGATTTCTACCCTTGCACTCCAAAATTCATCCTTATGCTAAAAGCCCTAATTTTTTTTAATCCCTAATTATGATTTTGGGTAAACTGGAAAACTTGTGTGATTTTGGGTAAACTGGAAAACTTGTGTGACTATGTAATTATTTGGAGGTCTCCTTCTCCGTTAATCGATTTTGTAATCGCGATGGTTTTTTAAAAAAATCAGCTGAAATTCAATTGGTTTTTGCTTTAAAATTTGATGGGTTTAACGCTATTACTGATGTTGATCTTTTCTTTTTTTGGACATAACATTTTGGATTGGTTTGAAAATTGAAATTAAGGCTTGCCGTAGAAGTTGTTCAAACACCTGATTTTGAGGAAGAAGAGGATATAAGTAGAAGGAGAAGAGGGGGAAAGGCGAAAGGGAAGGGGAAAGAAAGGGAGGGAGGGGGCTCACGTCAGATTTGTTGAATTAAAACAAAAGCATTTAAAACAGAGAAAGAAGCTTGATACCTGCTCTCTGTTCTACAACTATAAAAGAAGAGATACTGATGTGATTAATAGAATCAAAAACTAATGTGGTAAATTTCTGAATATTGTATGTATTTTGAAGAAGATGAAATGTTTATCGAGGTATTTTATTCCGGTCATTTATTCTGGTCATTTAGCAAATCCTTTGTACTGATCTAATCGCACTGATTTCTATTCTAGAGTTAAGATGGTATTCTGAATTACCCTGTTTTCAAAATTGTAAGATCTCAATTCATTTTCTTTTTTTCATGTGTGTTTGGATTGAATCTGAAAGTAGAGTGAAAGGAACTGTGATTTAAGTTTGTATATTTGCTCAACTTCAAAGGATTTTGGTCTATGAATTTCACTTAGCATGCCAGTCGTAATAACATCTGCTTTTTCTCCGTGTTACCAAAATTTCTTGAATATCTTTAATCAAGTTTTCAATTCTTTCTTTACTAAGTTTTACTGGTTATTCAAATACAGATGCCTACCGATAAAAAAACTATTGCGCCAAGCTGGCTCTTCCAGAAGAGGAAGCGACAGTATTCAGCAGAAAGAGCTTCTAAAATCAAGCTCAGGAGACATGATGTGTATGCAAATCAGTCAGCTGATAAAAAAGAAATGCTTTTAGCACAACGACGATCAAAAAATATTGAGTCGACAAGCCAAGGTCTCTTGGTTGAACATACTGAAGTAGCATCATCTTCTGAGACTGCTACTGAGTTATCTGGACAGAGAATACTAAAAATAGAGGAATCGTGTTGCCTTCCTGAAAAAGGTTCGATTGCTGGGCCAGTAGCTGGTTGTGACAAAGGAAAAAATATTACCGACCACTTCTCCGTTTTGAACATGGTAAGTGAGTGAAAATATGTTGTTTCAATTTGATTGTACTCTCTTTTAATTTATTAACTTGAGTTGTTTGTATATTAGGCTCCAGCTCTGGTGTACCCTATGAACAACATCATGCAGATACATCTATCGTCACAAACAAAGGTTTGTCTCACTTTAATTTTATTACAACATTTACTCTTACAACAACATTTACTGCTCCTCTCTTCTCAACACTAACATGATATATTGTTGCAACTAATGTACATAGGTTATAAATCAAAAATAATAGGTTTGAACTGGAACATTAGGGAACTACCCAGTGGTGCAACTAATTTAAAAATTGTACCGAACTGTAAATATTGTGGAGCAAAAAGATTTGAATATGAAACACCAGCATTTTGCTGTAGCAATGGTTCAGTTAAGTTGATGTCACATGAAATGCCTAATGAACTCTTGAATCTATATTTAGGCAATACCGAAGAATCTGAACACTTTCGTACGTACCTCAGACTATACAACAATATGTTTGCATTTACTTCACTTGGAGTGAACTACGACAAAGCACTAGCAAAAAGAAACCAAGGAATTTATACATTTAAAGTACAAGGTCAAATGTATCACTTCATAAATGATCTAATTCCAATAAATCGTCAACCAAGAAATTTACAGCTGTATTTTTATGATGAGAATACAGAAATATTGAATCGAATGCCTTCTTCACATATACTTCGACAATCGATTGTTGAGAAGCTAATGGATATACTGAAGATAAATCCTTATTGTATTTTCTTGAAATCTCTTATACATATCCTAGAATTATCAAACTTTTATATTGCATTGCGATGTGGCTCTGGCTTAGATCAACGAATATACAACTTGCCAATTGTGTCAGAAGTCGCAGCATTATGGCTAGAACAAGAAACGAACAATAATAGTTCCGCACCCCATATTCGAATTTATACTCACAGTAACAAAAGCCAATTAGTAAATTACTACTATGGCTGGTATGATCCTTTGCAATATCCACTTTTATTTTCCTATGGTCAAAACGGTTGGCATTGCGGTACTTCAAAAATCGTACAACCTAAAAATAAATTGAGAAAACGAGCTTACTATGAGACCGAACAACTTCCGAGTGTCTCTAACATGTGTTCAATTGATGGACTACTTGATATGGAAGCGGATGTTTTGCAAAAGGGGAAACGAAAAGGAAATAATGTTTCCTGTCGTGAATACTACTGTTACAAACTCCAGATGAGAGACAATGAGGAAAACGTCATTTTACATTCTGGTAGATTATTTCAACAATATTCAGTTGATGAATTCATAAAAGTAGAAACTCAGAGGTTAGATTTTGCCTCATTTAACCAAGATTTATTTCGGGTTGATGTACTACAAGGACTTCTAGATATCTTAAGACTTGCGAAAGAGAAGCTTCCAAGATAGGAAAACAAAACTTTCTTCCAACAAGTTTTACGGGTGGTCCGAGAGATATGCGCCAACGTTATATGGATGCTATTGCGCTAGTGCAACATTTTGAAAAGCCTGATATATTTATGACAATGACATGCAATCCCTCTTGGCCCGAAATAAAGCAACATTTGTTCCCAACAGACGAAACTCAAAATAGACCTGATTTAATTAGTCGAGTGTTCAGAGCAAAGGTAGAATAGATGAAAACAGATATATTGAAAAGAAACATATTTGGAAAAGTTGCAGCTTATATGTATACTATAGAATTTCAAAAACGAGGTCTTCCACTTGCTCATTTCCTTATTATACTTACTGATGACTACAAATTATTAACGCCCGAGGCTTATGACAAATTTGTTTGTGCTGAGCTTCCTGATCCTTATACACACTCTTACTTACATAAGCTTGTTATTAAACACATGATGCATGGGCCTTGTGGTAATTTAGATCCTACAAATTCATGTATGAAAAAAAATGAGTGCAAATTTAAGTACCCCAAAAGCTTTGCTGATGAGACAGCAAAAGGAAAGAACTCATATCCAATTTATAGAAGACGAAACACTGGTAAATCTGTAGAAGTTAGAAAATAATTTCTTGATAACTCATGGGTTGTTCCTTACAATCCTTATTTGTTGTGTAAATATAATTGTCATATAAATGTGGAAGTTTGCTCTGATATTAAAGTTGTGAAATATATATACAAATATATATGTAAAGGGCATGATAAAATTTCGTTTGGCTTACACAAAGATAACACAAATATACAAATAGATGAAATAAAAGAGTATCAATCTGCTAGATGGGTGTCACCTCCGGAAGCTATGTGGCGTTTATTTGCATTTCCTATCAATGAAATGACTCCAAGTGTTATATCACCTCCAGCTACATCTTGATGGACTACAATTTGTCTCCTTTAAAAAAACTGACACAATAGACAGTATCCTGAAAAACCCTATGATTAAGAAGCCGATGCTAACAGAATTTTTTTTGATGAATGAAACAAACGAAGATGCTAAAGAACTTAAGTTGTTGTATAAAGATTTTCCACAACACTTCGTATGGTCATCTACCTACAAAATGTGGACTCGACGGCAACGAGGTCATGTTATTGGCCGCGTTGTAACATGTCATCCAACAGAAGGAGAAAGATATTACCTTAGATTATTACTAATGAATGTGAGAGCACCAAAATCATATGAAGATCTTCTAAAAGTAAACGAGATATGTTGCGACACATTTAGAGAATCTGCGAAAAGAAGAGGGTTGTTGCACCGTGACAACAGCTTAGTTGAATGTATGTCAGAGGCTGCATGTTATCGAATGCCTTATAGTTTAAGACGTTTATTTGCTACAATATTAGTACATTGCAGCCCTGACAATCCAAGGGAACTGTGGAAACAATTTGAAGATTCAATGTCTGAAGACTTTAAGAACCTAGCCAATATAACGACAAAAGATATCCACCTTACTGTCTTGAATCACATCAATGATATATTACATTCCATGGGCCGTGATATTAATGAGTTTAACCTTGTTTCAGAAAGTATCACGTCTTCAAAAATGGCAAATGAAGCGAAGGAAGTATATTTTGAAAGAAATATCATTGTGAGCGATGAAGACTTACTGTTGCATAGAAAATTAAATACAGAACAGAAAATGGCATACGACATTTGCTAACAAATCAGGAGCATTTTTTATTGATGGTCCTGGAGGAAGTGGTAAAACATTCTTATATTGTGCCTTATTAGCGATTGTGAGATCTAAAGGATTTGTAGCATTAGCAACAATAACTTTTGGAGTTGCAGCTTCTATTCTTCCTGGAGGACGAACAGTTCATTCACGTTTTAAATTTCCAATTAATATTGATGAAAAGTTTCCTTGCAATATCAGTAAGCAAAGCTCATTGGCGTCTTTGATTCGCGATGCAAAATTAATTGTGTGGGATGAAGTATCCATGGCCAAGAAAAACATGATTGAAGCTTTAGATTCTCTTTTGAAAGATATAATGGACACAAATGTACTTTTTGGCGGAAAAGTTGTTGTGTTTGGAGGAGATTTTAGACAAACTCTTCCTGTGGTTCGAAGTGGAAAAAAGGAAGACTTCATTCGGGAAAGCATATTGAACTCCGAAATATGGAATGAGCTTGAAAAACTTCAATTATCAGAGAATATGCGTGCGAAAACTGATCCTTCTTTTTGTGAATATTTGATGAGAATTGGAAATGGAAAAGATAAGACAAATATGGATGGTAAAATAGAAATTCCGAGCTCTTTAATTGTTCCTTATATTACTGAAAAAGAATCGCTGGATCTTTTATTCAACATAATATATCCTGATTTGCATACGTCTTTTCACGATTCTTCTTTTTTAACTCCTCGTGTTATTTTGACGACAAAAAATGACTTTTTTGATGAAATAAATGATAGACTTATAGCTCAATTTCCTAAAGATGCCAAGACATTTATTGCAATGGATGAAACTGTTGAACCAAATGATCAAAGCCAGTTTGAGGATTTTCTACATTCATTAAACCCTGCTGGTTTGCCTCCTTACAAATTAATCTTGAAGGAAAATTGTCCCATTATGTTGTTGCGAAACTTAAATCCTTGTGAAGGTCTATGCAATGGTACACGACTGATATGCTGTAATTTTAAGAGCCGTGTTATAAGCGCTAAAATTGCAAGCGGTGATTTTAAAAATACACATGTATTTATTCCTAGGATACCGTTGTTATCTTCAGATGATGAGAAATTACCTATTCCATTTAAAAAAAAACAATTTCCGGTACGCTTGTGTTTTGCAATGACGATAAATAAAGCACAAGGACAAACATTAGATTATGTTGGTATTTATTTACGTGAGCCAGTGTTTTCTCATGGCCAGCTATATGTTGCTTTATCGAGAACAAAGAGTTCAAGCCGTATAAAAATATTAATCCGACCATCTACGGTGGATAACGATGATGACCAGTCTACATATAACATAGTATATGATGAAATCATTCAAAAAGCGCTCCTATAACTCTACAACTTTGTTTTTCATATTCCTTGATTCACCCTACATTGTTTATTTCAATGATTTTCTTGGGGCTTGAAACAATTTCTCTGCAATTTTGTAAGCACTAAATAAGTTGGCTTGTCGCGGCGGACGAGGCGAGCTTGAGGCGTTTGGAAGTGAAGAGCGAAGCAACACCGGCCGGAACGTGCAAGAGTTGCCAGTAGTTGACCGGGCGCATCAAAGCTTACTTCCAGGTTCTTTTTTCACCGGGAGTTGGTATCTCCTGGTCTCTTGTTTACTCTTGTTTACTCTGCACACCTTTTTACGTATTCTAGCTAGCATCATGTGTGTGGTTTACGCTATCGCTATCTAGCTAGCACCCTTTTTCGTATTCTGCTAAACTCCGTGTGTGCATCACTGTTTTTTATAGTCGGTTGGAGGGATAGTGGCCGCGGCGGGGAATGGTGGTGTAAGGTCATGTCCTCGGGGGGCGGGGGTGGTGGTGGTGGTGGTGGTGGTGGTGGTGGGGGGGCAGGGAGCGGCTCTGTGGGAAGGGGATAGCGGGCGCTCATAGATTGAGGATCGGGTCGTGGAACATAGGCACCCTGACGGGTAAGTCCATTGAGTTGGCGAAGATTCTTCAGAAAATGAGGGTCAGCATAGCTTGTGTGCAGGAGACTAGGTGGAAAGGGTCGAAGGCGAGGAATGTAGACGGGTTTAAGCTGTGGTATTCTGGGGTCGTGAGGGGTAAGAATGGATTGGGTATCTTGGTTGATAGGGATCTTAGGGAGTCTGTGGTGGAGGTTAGGCGAGTGAACGATAGGTTAATGTCTATTAAGTTGGTTATTGGTGGTTGCGTCCTCAATGTCATCAGCGCTTATGCGCCGCAAGCAGGCCTAGACGAGGAGGTTAAGAGGCGCTTTTGGGAGGGCTTGGACAAGTTGGTGAGTAGTATTCCCCAATCTGAGAAGTTAGTTATTGGAGGGGATTTTAATGGTCATATTGGGGCTGATGCTGGTGGTTATGGTGAGGTGCATGGTGGCTTTGGCCTTGGGGTTAGGAACGGAGGAGGCACTTCGCTGCTTGATTTCGCTAGGGCTTTCGAGCTTTTGATTGCGAACTCGTCATTTCAGAAGAGGAAGGAGCATTTGGTTACTTTCAAAAGTTCGGCGGCGAGGACTCAGATTGATTACCTCCTCCTCAGAAGGAGCGATAGAGGGTTGTGCAAGGACTGTAAGGTTATCCCGGGAGAGTACTCTTCATAGACTTTCGACTCTTCATAGACTCCTAGTGATGGATGTCGGTCTCTGGGTGAAGAGGAAGAGGAGGGGTGCTCGGGGCAGGCTGCGGATTAGATGGGGAGCTTTGACTAAGGAGAAAGCCCAGGAGTTGGAGAGGAGGTTAGCTGATGGTGGAGCTTGGAGAAGTTCTGGGGAAGCGGACGCAATGTGGTCAGTGACGGCGAACTTGGTTAGGGAGGCAGCGCGGGATGTGCTCGGGGTAGCCAAGGGCTATTCAGGCAGACATCAAGGTGACTGGTGGTGGAACGATGTAGTCCAAGGAAAAGTGGAGGCGAAGAAGGCGGTGTTTGCTAAGTTGGCGGGGAGCTCAAGCGAGGAAGAAAGGAGAGTCAACAGGGAGAGCTACAAGGTGGCGAGGAAGGAAGCGAAGCTGGGGGTCACGGAAGCAAAAAATGCGGCGTTTGGTCGCATGTACGAGGAATTGGGGGAGAAAGGCGGGGACAGGAAGTTATTCAGGTTGGCTAAAGTGAGGGAGAGGAAGGCGCGGGATTTAGACCAAGTTAGGTGCATCAAGGACGAGGATGGTAGAGTTCTGATGGGGGAGTCTCAAGTCAAGCAGAGGTGGCAGGCGTACTTTCGAGACCTGCTTAACGAGGAGGGGGATCGAGACGTAGAGCTAGGGGAGTTGGGGAATTCAGAGTGTCATAGAGACCTACTGCAGGCGCATTAGGGTGGAGGAGGTCGTGGGGGCTTTGCGTAGGATGAGTAGGGGTCGAGCGACCGGGCCAGACGAAATCCCGGTGGAGTTCTGGAAATGCATACGTAGGTCAGGAGTAGAGTGGCTGTCCAAGTTGTTCAATGTGATCTTCAGGACTAAGAGGATGCCGGAGGAGTGGAGGTGGAGTATAGTGGTGCCCGTGTATAAGAACAAAGGGGATATCCAGTGTTGTAACAACTATAGGGGTATCAAATTATTAAGCCACACCATGAAAGTCTGGGAGCGGGTGGTTGAGGCGAGGGTGAGGGAGATGACGTCTATATCCGTGAACCAGTTTGGTTTCATGCCGGGCCGTCCACTACAGAAGCTATCCACCTTGTCAGGAGATTGGTGGAACACTTCAGGGATAAGAAGAAGGACCTGCACATGGTGTTTATCGACTTGGAGAAGGCGTACGACAAGGTCCCAAGGGAGGTGCTATGGAGGTGTCTGGAGGCGAAGAGCGTGCCGGAAGCCTACATCAGAGTGATCAAGGACATGTACGATGGAGCTAAGACTAGGGTTAGGACGGTGGGTGGCGACTCAGACCATTTCCCGGTGGTAATGGGGCTTCATCAAGGATCTGCACTTAGCCCTCTCTTATTTGCTTTGGTGATGGATGCTATAACACGCCATATTCAAGGGG